CCTACTCAATTTAGCTACTCAAGGAGGCCTCCTTTCTGTAGATTGGGAGGTACACCAGCCTCTTTCCTTGTGCTCATGCACATGCCCTTTCTTCAATGAAATTATGTCACCCTTCATGTTTCTCTCTGACACCTCTGTGTGGGACTTTTTAGTTCTTTCTTTATTGTCAGGAACATCAGTTAGTTCTTCTTCTAGGCAGTCTTAATTTTTAGGAGTAACTGACTTATAATCTTTCTTAATTATCAGGGAGAAAACTACTTCTCCCTTCATTGAAAGTAGATAAGAATTTCTAACTAAGCCACAAATGTTCTGATAGATTTATTTCCCCTTTCGTCTTCCTAATCATGTACTTAATTTGGGATGGGAATGGGTTGAAAGAAATAGTTTTGCCCATCTACTGTAAACCCAGCCTTGAGTCTGTAGATACAAAAAGAAGGCTGATCCAAACAGCAGAAGATATTTTTTGAACTTAGCCTTTGACATCTTTCACATATTATTTTTTTCTTTTTTTGGAGAGGTTTTTTTCTTATTGGGTGTGTGCACTCACTAGAAAGACAGAGAGAGACAGAGAGATAGAAAGTGAGAAATCATCCCCCAGAGGGGATGGCCACGCTGAAATCCCTTCTCCTCCATTCTCCTCTCGGGATCTTGGGCACGCGTGCATATGTGCCTGGCGTCTTTCACATATTTTAATTTTAACTTTGAATTATAGTTTAATTCCAGCACATTGCACACACAGAGGCTCTTAATTAGGGTAATAGCTCCCCTTGAGGAAACACTTTAAAATTTGGAGAAATATTTGGTTGTTACAGTGCAGAGAGAGTATCAAGGAGGATATTTAGTCAGCTGGAGCAAGTGACACTTGATTTCCTGAAATGTGTAGGATAGTCCAACCTAATGAAGAATTGCCTTTTCCCAAATGTGAATAGCATATCCCAAATAAAAACACTACACTGAATATCAAACTATTGGGATTATTAATGATTTATGACCATGAGATGATGTTAGTTTTGGTTTTACCTGTGTTTTATTAATTACTATTGAATGTGACCATCTTTCATGTTACTCGGTCATCTGTATTTTGAATAATAAATGTATACATCCATATATCATTTAAGGTTATTTATATTTTTATTTTATTACATATTTTACATAGTCATTTTTTTCTTTTTCTTTTTTCTTTTTTTTTTTTTTTTGCCATAGAGTGCATGCACTTGCCAGATAGACAGTGAAAGGGAAATTGAGAAATTGTCTCCCATGGGAGATGACCATGCCACAATCCCTTCTTCTCCATTCTCCTCCTGGGATTTTGGGCATGCACTCACATGTTCCTGGTGTGATTTTCAAGCTGCCAGGTCTGGGACTTGAACCATAGTCAGCATGTGGGAGCGCAGTACTTTAATCACCATGTCACCTCCTGGCCTCCATTAAAATCCTATAAATTTTGCAAATATACACTTCTAGTACATTCTTGTCTAAACTCTACAATAGCTTGCTGCTTTTATATAATTCTTTTTCTCAGAAACACACATATGTTTATGCTATCCTTAATATGTTATAATGGAGAAATAAAGATATCAAGGACACTGTTAATGAAGATACTTCAGAATAGTTGGAGTCGAGACACTAAACCCACCCCATAAACATTATTCTGTGTGTGTGTGTGTGTGTGTGTGTGTGTGTGTGTAGGCTGCCCATATATTGATTATTTAATTTTATTTCCTGGCCTCTATACATCGAATGCCAGTGTTTACCCTCCTCACTTGTGGAGGGAAACAGCTTCTATGGAAATCATAGCCTCAGCATTGTTTTTGGAAAGATCAATGGAGATTTTCAGTGCAAAGATGCAAGTATACATTTTCCAGAGGCAACTTGGCTATTTTTGTTTGTGTATGTCTGTATTGGTCCTCTCATACCATAAAAAGTACCGTTTAGTGTCTGATACCAAATTTTCTGTGCAATAATGTCCTCCAATTATCCTTGAATCTTTGAAAAATCATTTCATATACACAAGCCTTTATTGGTGATAGTGGTACAAGGGACTAAAGTGCAAGACATATAAGGGAGATATGCTTTTATTCGAATTATTCTGTGAAGTCCAGCTTATTTATATCAGTAATGGTGGGGGAGGATGGCAGTTCTAAACTTTCCAGTGCAAACAAAGCCAAGCAAGTGGCTAGTTATCTGAGGTGATTTTAAAAATAACATATTTTGGAGAAATAACTGTGAGATGAACAAGTGTGAGATAAATATTTTCAAAATTTCCACAAGAAGGTGATTCTCTAAATGGAGGAGCAAAGGTGTTTGTTTCAAATAGTCAAAGAGCTACCTAAGTGACCACACATCCCTTGAGGTCACAGCCATTGTAGTGTTTTGAACTCCCTCTTCTCTTGCAAGTTATGTAGGAAAATAATAGTAGCAATCCAATGAATACCACTGCTTACAGGCTTTGTGTGCTCCAATTCTGACAGGGTTGGGTGACTAAGGAACTTCATTACATATAGACACTAGCATATCATTCAAATCTACTGAATTACAGAGCTGGAGTACCTTAGAGATCAGCATGTCTAGCACATTCATTTAAAGATAAAGTTCCCAGAGGTGAAATAACTAAGATTACATAGCTTATCCCTCCTTCCAGCTCTTGGTCTGCTGTATTTCCTAGTGAGAACATGAAAGATCTTTCTTCTCCCTCATTAATTGATTGCTAATTAGAACCCATCAAAAAGTAGAATCAGGCATATTACTACTAGTGAGAACATGAAAGATCTTTCTTCTCCCCCATTAATTGATTACTAATTAGAACCCATCAAAGAGTAGAATCAGGCATATTACTGTTTTATTTAGGGACAAATGTAAACTTAACTATCATTTGGTCCATTTTGAATGAATAATTTTAATGAGAAAAACATGCTTATTTTATATGAAAGTAAAAACATGCACTCTCATTCATGATTAATTTTTCTTTTACTTTTAAAAAAAAAAAAAAAAAAAAAAAAAAAAAAAAAAAAAAAAAAAAAAACTCTGTCCTAAAATCCTCACTAAGCTTCCTCTCTGATGATACAAATCAGAGATGGATCATAAACAGAAAAAAAAAGAAAAAACAATACAACTCTAACAAAGTAGCAGAGGTCAATACAGGGGCTTGTGCTTGAATTAAAAGTAATGTGTAGTAAAAACGAACTGAAAATTACTTAACAGCACCATATACACTGAATTTTTCTTGTGTTTAAGTACTAACACAAATCAATGTGAGTTGAAAAAATGTTTTCACCACTGAAGCGACTTCAGAGGAGAGTGAAAAGAATAAGAGATATGGAAACCAGATTCTGTTGTGAGCAGAAAAAGGTTTTAAGATATTTAGCTCAAATGGAAACCAGATTCTGTTGTGAGCAGAAAAAGGATGTAAGATATTCAGCTCAAACTGGAGTGAACATAGTAAGTGTCTTCAGTTACATGACTTTCATGGGGCTCTCCCTAAGAAATTATTATACTGGGTTTCCAAAGTAAGGACTAGGATACAATTTTACCTGCTGCACAAGTGTAACAATGTGAGAAAACAGATGCTGAAAACAGATGCTGGAGAGAATTCAGGTTTTTGATGAGTAGCCAGAAAATGAAAGTGTGAGCTTCAGAAATCTAAAAAAAAAAAAAGAATCACAGGCACTCTTACATCCTTTCTGTTTTACATTGTTTTTCCTTGGCTGTTACTAATTTACTGAAATGCCTCTCAAATTATTTATATTGTGTCTTTAGAGGTGACTTGTCAGACTGTGCTACATGTCTGTAATAGAACTGTAGCCTTTGTAGAATTTAGGTTCTGAAGCTACAGACTGTGAACTGGGTGGGTAATGAGTGGAACTAATAGAAAGATGGTGAATTGACACATTTGATTCTTGATCTTATGTTCCTGAATTTAAAGATATATACAACTACAATGCCTTCATTCATTATAATTTTTATTTAAAGATTAAAATTTTAAGGCTGAAATAAACTTTTCTTACAACTTCTTCCTACCAGAATGGGATAAAGAATCCTATTTCTTGAGTTCAGACATTTTGCTTCCGACCTACAAGCATAACAAAATCGTGCTATCAATATCATCATTAACATATCTTTGAATGCTTTATTCCCACAGTGATTCTGTCCAGAGAACCTTAACCACCCATTTCTTAAACTTTGTCTCCATTAAGCAGCATTCATGAAAATAGCTGGGCTTCTGAAGATAGCAGTAGAACCCATTTATGTCTTAACTTACGATGACACACTTTGGACAAGAAGAATCAATAAGGTACTTTAATTTAAATACTTACTCAACAGCAAGATGGTCAGTAGTTGTTCTGGTGGGTTATAAATGCTGGTATACAAATAGTGAGGGGCAGTATTTAAATTCAGAGAATGGGTATGTCTTCAATCAATTAAGCTGATGAAAATCAGAACAAGAATCCAAGAGGGTCCCAGTATTGTTAGACTTTGTAAGCGGTAAGAGCTGTGTAGGAATCCTTCTGTGAACCATAGAAATAATAAACGCTGAGCCCATTGGAACATAATCTCAATCAGCAAGATGCCACTGCTTTCCAGATTTCCTCACAGGGCCCTGCTAATTCCATGCCAAAACTAGCAGTGGATTTCTTCCTTCTAATCTCCCCTAATGCCTTATTCGATTATTGTCACTGCTCTCCAACCATGCACTGTCCCTTCGGACTCTCATTTCCCAACTGAGTCATTCGGAGGAGGCTGGACGTCTGCAGGATGTAGTCTAAGGTCACGAGCCACCTTGCTCCACGTGAAAAGACGAAAACAAACAAGAAGAGAGGCAGGGGAATCCTTCAAGTTTGCTAGAAATCTCCTAATTTTTTGGATTACAGACTGGAGGCAAATGAGGAACAGGGATATGAGGGGTTTGGAAGATTTCTCTAGTTGATTGACAAAGAAGAGCTGGTGAGGGAGGAGGAGGGAACAAGGAGGAGGGTGGACTGGGCATTTCAGTGCACTGTAGGATGGCGTCGCCTCTGTCCTGGCTGTACATTATTCTCTGGTAAGATATTTTTTTCATCTGACTTTTTCTTTGAGCTCATAAGAAAAAAGAAAGTATTCACTTACTTGGTGACTTCGTTATCAAATTTGTGTAAGAAGCCAGAAGTGGTGTAGCTTGTATTTGTGGTAAGACGGAATTGGGTAGATAAGGCAATGTATCCTCTCCAAGTCCAGGAATGAGGATCACTGAGTCTCTACTTACAGGCTAGAAAATGCCCTAGGGAAACTTGAAGATGAAGACAACTTCTACTCAAAAAACATCAGTCGGATCCTGGACAACTTGCTCGAAGGCTATGACAACCGGCTGCGGCCAGGATTTGGAGGTAAGAAACTGCTTTCTTGTTAAACCAAACACTTGTAATTTCCTTACTAACCTCTAAGAGCTAGAGGAGTTAGAAAAAAGTAGGTAAGTCGAAGGGGTTGAAGAGATATCATGTGTGTTCCTATACAGCTTCTGCCCCTTTTTTAAATTAGTGACCTTAGTTAGGCAAGTTACACAAACTCTCTAAGCCTTAGTATCTTCCACTGCAGTGTGAGGGCATGGATAATGCTTGCCTCATGATGTTGTGTAAGTAGAGAATTAGATTATCCATATAAAATGCTTCTGAGTATTTATCCCATTAAATTTCAATATGTATTAGTTATTGTTATAATTTTTATTAAAACCCTTACCTAGTTCTCTTAAACTTCTTAATATTTCCCTAATTTGACTAAAATAAATTTAAAATAAGATATCTGTTGTGAGTTTTCAGAATGAAAAGACCCTAAGTGTCCCACTATTGAAGTTTGGTAGGATGAGTTGAAAACCCATGAGGATGGATTTTGTGGTAGAGTTGTTCAGTTTAGTGTTCTAAACATTTCCTGC